TGGGAATTGAACTCAGGACCTCTGGAAGAGCAAGCAGCCAGTGTTCTTAACCTCTGAGCCATCTCTCCAGCCCAATTTTTTTTTTTGATTCTCTCATCTCTACCCCAGTTTTTCCTCCCTCCTCTCCTCCCAATCCCTCACACCATCCGCAACCTTCCCTCTCCTCCGTTTCCCTTCAGAAAAGGGCAGGCCTCCCGGGGATATCAAGGAAACATGGCACATCACGTTACAATGAGACTAGACACGTCCCCTCATACTAAGGCTGGAGGAGGCAACCCACTTGGAGGAGAAGAGGGCCTGTGCTTTTTAACATTTAAGTGTGAGCACCTGGCATGCATGTGGAGCTCAGAGGACAACTTGAACAAGTCAGTTCTCTCCTTCCACCAATGTGAGTCTAGAATGCAACGTTTTTCAGGTTTGGTAGCAAGCACTTTAACCTGCTGAGCCATCTTACCAGCAGCAATCTTACTATACATTTTCAAAGGTTAGATCCAAGAACAATGTCCTTCAGTTTGTGAGCTGTCATTAAAATCATGTTTTCCTGTTGGAATTAAAGAGACATCTCAGAAAGAACTCTCTCTTCTGCCTGTTGGGGCTCACACTGCGGTGCAGAAAGCCCTCTACTAATCCTCACAGCCAAAATTCCTCAAAGGCCTTGGATCTGTTCACTCTCTCTCCACTCCTGTCAAAAAACACTCTTCTGTGTTAAGCATTACATATTCTAGGAAACATAACTGTCTTAAAGCTTTTCTCTAACACAACTAATAATTCAAATTGATACTAGCCTAGCTGAAAAAAGCAGTGCCTCTAGCAACCTGCAACCATCTATAATTAATAATAAGTCGATAAATTTCCAAGTTATCATTTATTTTATTTTATTTTTGGTTTTTTGAGACAGGGTTTCTCTGTGTAGTCCTGGCTGTCCTGGAACTCACTCTGTAGACCAGGCCGGCCTCGAACTCAGAAATCTGCCTGCCTCTGCCTCTCAAGTGCTGGGATCAAAGGCGTGTGCCACCACTGTCCGGCCCAAGTTATCATATTTATTCCTGGCTTAGAGGCTTTCAGCTAGAGCCCCATGCCGGGTGGAAAGCCCTGGCCTTCACGGTCACATGGGCTTGCTTGGATGCCACACCTGCCGCTCTCCACGTGGCTTTGGTGAGTCGCCTTTCTTTCTCCAACCTCCTGCTTTGCCAGTACAGTGCACATTCATCTCTTAGGGTTACAGCCAGGATTGCAGGATGCCCCTGCAGAGCGGGAGAGACCTTGGCCTCTTACCACCTGTCCCTGGTTAGGCTGCCATGCACCGCCTACAAACTAGTTCATCCCTGGGACTAGAATTCTTCTGACAGACAGTTGTGGCTACCTCTCAGAGCTCTATGTACACACTGAAACAGCTGCCCAAAGCACGGAGCGCTCCATGGGCTCTAATCAAAAGCGCCTTTCTCTCTTTCTCGGAGCACTGATCCATTGCAAACAGTCATAGAATTAGTTATAAAGCTGAACTCATGTCTAGCCTTGGAATTACTCTCCTCCTCTCAAATTCACAATCTGTTATCAAGTGTCAACTCAGAATACAAGAACCTTTAGTTTTTTTTATTTTCATCTCTTTGCTTGTTTATACCCCAGGCTAGCCTCAGCCTCCCAAATATTGGGATTACAGTTGTAGTACCACCATACAGTTCTAGCACAAGAACCCCTGGAGACTTGAGGTGGGAACAGTAGACTTATCTAGTGCTGTCACAGTTATTTCTTCTCCTTGTGGAAGGTAGATGGTTCTCTCTTACTTGTCCACGTTCTTTGCTGTTCACACCCTGCTATGGCCAGGAGCTCTCTGCTCCAGCATAGCAACACCCAATCCCTGAGCTGATCTCACCTCTCTGCTGCCTTGGGTCCGTCTCTTCTAACTCTAAATTTCAGATCCGTGTCAGAGTGTATATTAACAGAAAATTCTTCCCAGGCCACTTCCTGCCAGCAAGGAGTGACTGCTGTTTCGGCCATGCTTCTGAACCTCATCTATAGAAAGGGACCAGGGAAGGGAATTGAGATATATTGAGTCTATGCATATATTAATGCATTTAACCTTCCCTTGATCCACTTACTAACACTACGTTGTACAGGTGAAGAGAATCTGTGTGTTACTTGATTAAGCAAACACTTATTGAATCTGATTGATTATCAGGCACTGGGGATGCAAGGGCAAACAGTGGGCAGAGTCCATAGGGTCGTGCCTGGGGTAATCCAAAGAGCAGAAATGAAGGGTTTTTCTGTAGGCATAATGTTATTGTGCGCTGTGTAAAGTCTACCTTCTATTAGTCAAGTTCTGGGTTCTCTATCCCTCAACAATCCAGACACAGCCTTGTAATGTTTAAGAATCTCCTGTCTCAAGTTTGTGTAAACAATGTTCACCTTGTATTCTCTGCCTTGTCAATTAAATCTGGAAAGGCCAATAACTAGACAACAGAAAGAATAGGGTGGGACTTCAGCTAGCCAGGGAAGAAGGGAGAGAAAGAGAGGATTTGACGTGAGGCAGAGGTCCAGAGAGACATCGAGGCAAAACGCACCTGAAGCCCAGACAGCCAGACTTATACAAAAATGCCCATATCTCAGGGATCTTGGCTGTGACGTAGCCAGGTTGGGTTATAGGATTAGAATGGAATTATAATACCTAGTTATTTCACTTTAAGTTGAAAATAAATCTATCTGTGTCATTATTGAGGAACTAGCTAGGATTTTTTTAAAAATCAGCCTCTGTAATAATTTGCTGTATACATTTATATTAAAATTACCATTATACCTTTGACTGGTGAAGTGGGGTTCTGTGGCTGTTAAAGGGGTAGGAAGAGTGTGTTATTATCCTGTGTTATCCTGTGTTGGAGTTAGAAATGTTATTGTCCTGTGTTGATGTTGTGTGAGATGTTGTTATCCTGTGTTGGAGTTAGAGATGTCCCCCTAAAGAGACATTTTACTTAAATCATGATGCTCTTCATGTGGGTGAATAGCAAGAAGCAGAGGTGAGATTGTAATGTCTCTGAACCTCCTTTGAATACGCTTCATGTTTTTGTTGGTAAATACTTGCAGTGATGTTATTATTTCAGTGTGCGATTCACCACATTTCTTCCTCCCTAAAGACTGTAGGTACCTGAGAACATCGGGCCCCATCTCCTAGTATGTGGTCCACATAATAAGATGAGTAAGTGACCACGAGGAGTTCAGCATATGCATTTGCATACTAACTGTGATGCAGAATGGAGCTTCCTGTGTTTAGTACAGAATGGGAGAGTACCTAGATCACACACACTGTCCTTTCTTTAACCTGCACAGTCTGTATGGTTTTCAAACAGCCTTCTGAGCGGGATACTTGCACGCTAACTCCTTTGACTCAGATGTTTGCTGTTTGGTTGTCTGGGATGATCCAGGCCAGCATTCAAGAGATGAAGCAGCTGCCGTCAGTTCTGCAGCAAATGGAACTCAGAAGCACCTTACTCATCTAATTAAAGTTACTTACGTCTTGTCTTCCCCAAATGCTGACAAGCTCAAGGCTCTTTTTCTGCCTGCAGCCCATGCTGTTCTTAATGATGAAAAGAACTCCCTTGCACCAGCATTGTGGGAAATATTGAGAGTATAAAGATGAAAGCCCCTGGAGAGATGCAATGAGTGTTAATTTCTTCCTGGCATTCAGTGATTCTGTCTAGTGGGAATGCCTCCTCCAACAAATCCAGATGTTCTAATTCTTCCCAAATAGTCCCACTAACTGGGACAAAGTATTCAAGCATATCAGCCTATGGGAGCCATTGTCATTGAAACTACCACACACCCAGAACCAGTACATCCTAACAAAGTCAAGTGTGCACAGGTGAAAGACATAGCATCCTCCACAGGTTGATATGAGGTCTCCCAGGCAAACAGATGTCATCATATCTGAACTGGAAAGATAAATGGCAGTTAGCCAGGGAAAGAAAGTTGAGATGGGATTAGGTGTAAATAGGCCAGCCTGAGCAGAGTCTCAAAGGAAAAGAAAGGATGGCCCTTTTGGGAGCCACACATTCCCGTAAGAGCAAGGAAGGTAGTGCAGGCCAGACTCTGGTGTTTCTTCCTCTTCCTTAATTTCTTTTGACTTGTACATGATTACATTCTTCATCCCCGCCCCCATCTTTGATTGAATCTTAGTCAAATAGGAGATGTTTTCTATTCTAAAAATAGCAGCCCAAACCCGTTATCATACCAGTTGGTAAGTGATACTTTGCTGTCCTCGGAGAGACAACTGAAAGGGGTGGGGATGTACACTGGAGGTCATTCTTCGTGACCTCCTGAGAGAAGGACTGTTATTTAATTCCAAGTGTTCAGTGGTTCCAGATCTTGCTCCCC